CCGATCGGGATGAATTTTACATCAACGCGAAGCTCTCGTCGACGCCAACGACATATTCGAACCTCAACGAAAAACTCCGGCGAGAGGACTTCTGATTTTCCGGCGAAAGCTTGTAGATCTACAAATCTGTTCAACCTTCAAATTCAAATTGCCGGTGACTCACATGGACCCACCGAAATCCAAAGACATGCCCGGACTCGTCTCGCCGGACCCCACATTTTTTCGGCCACCGTCGCCGGATCCGGCGAACTTTTCCGGCGACCATTTTTTCCGGCGAACGAGCATCCACCGAGTTTCCGGTACGTATTTTTGAGCTTTTATTGTTAAATGCCATCGATTCCTTTAGTTTGGTACCTTTTTTCCGGCGACCGAATCTCCGATTTTTCTATATTTCTCTATTTTCGAACTCCGGCGACCGTTTTTCTCGAAAATTTTTCCAAAGTCCAACGTCTAGATTTCGATTTATATTTCCGTACTTTCATTATATGCGTTGTTCTTGGATCACTACTCTTGCCGGAGTAGTCGTATTGAGATGATTGGGTTAGACTTGTGTGTTTAGGCACGTCTTGCCGGGCGTGCCACATATACGATTGTTTTTGCCGGGAGTTTGAGTTGTAGGTACCTACTTACGGCAAGCACCGAAAATCACTTATGCATTGCATACATACGGAGTTCGTTGTGTTGGACCATGGCGGGGATCGACAAGGACTTCGAGGCCCGATTTTTGCACTTTCACGTGAACGTGTGTCTACGTCGAGTTTATGCATTCATGGTTACTATCTCTCCGAGACACACACTTGGCCTCTCTCGATTCATGTGCTCAATGTTACACTGTTCGGATGGCTCTATCTCACGCTCGATGGTTTTCGGTTGACCCCTCTATTCCCTCCGGATGACCGTTATTGGACACACGGTGGTGACGACCACCGTTTCGCGTACGCATTTTCTTTTCCTATTTTCTCTTTCTTTCTTTGCTTCTTGTGTGTCTTTGTGTGTTTTTGTCTTGTTTGTTTATCTTTGTGTCTCGTCTTTATTTTTATCGCATGAACGTACGTGATTATGTGCTTTCGCCTATACTTTTTGGTCAAGCAATGAGGACATTGCTTTGTTTTAAGTGTGGGGGAGGGATTTCGTGATTATGCATGTTTAGGTGATATTCTGTTCGTTTTTGTGCCTTATTTTTCGTATTTGTTGTGTCGTGGACCGGTTTTATTTAAGTTTTTGTGTGTTCGTGTCATCTCTCCCGCATGGAACTTGATGTTTGTTCGAGAGT